AACAGAGAGTCGCTCCATCAACAGGGAAGTGAAGCCAGAGCCAGTTCCCCCTCCAAAGCTGCGAAACACAAGGAATCCCTGGAGGCCTGTGCACTGGTCAGCCTGTTGGGAGAGTCAAGTAAGATTCCTTCAAGCACTGAATTTGCTGGAGGAAATTTTCAAACTCTTTCTTTGGCAGCTGCAGATCCCTCCTAGGGCACAGCAAGCTTAACCCCCCGCTCCCACCCTCCACAGAATGCTGGAGCCCTGCCGTGGGACACATGTCCTCGCTCTGTGGTAACCTACCAGCTTCCGGATCCTGTCCAGCACTTGGTCGATGATCTCTTTGCCGATGGTGTAGTGCCCGCGGGCATAGTTGTTGGCAGCATCCTCCTTGCCTGTGATCATCTGCTCAGGGTGGAAGAGCTGGCGGTAGACACCTCCCCGAATCTCATCTAGGAGAAGTTGGCACATTGTCAGAGAGTTTCTAACTGTCCCTGGGGAATGGTGGCAAGAGCCACCCAAGGAATGTTCCACAGCGAGTTGTTCCCAAAGACAGCGACCACACTCACTGCCCAGCTGAGTTGCACTCACCGATTACGGTGGGCTCCAGGTCCACAAAGATGGCTCGTGGGACATGCTTCCCAGCCCCGGTCTCGCAGAAGAAGGTGGTGAAGGAGTCGTCCCCTCCGCCGATGGTTTTGTCACTGGGCATCTGCCCGTCGGGCTGGATGCCGTGCTCCAGGCAGTACAGCTCCCAGCAGGTGTTGCCCATCTGGACGCCGGCCTGGCCGACGTGGACGGAGATGCACTCGCGCTGGGGAGGGGGAGGCAGGGTCAGATCCCAGCTGGGACCACAAATGCAATTGCTGCAGGTGGTGCACAACCCAGGCAGGGCAGCCCAAGCCCTTGTCCTCTTGTGCAAGCCACACTGCCCTGTAGCCTGTCTGCCTTGTGTCCAGCCCAGTCTGCTGCACTCTCCCAGACCTGGTGCTCTGCCTCCCATCACTGCACTGCCCTTGTCAGAGGACCAGGGAGGTGAAGACCCATTTGCTGAAGCTCAGGACACCAGGCCATCACATCCTCTCCATTTCCTCTACCCACAGCCTAGGGAAGCACACAGTGAACATCTTCTCCATTGCCCGAACACCGACATGGGTTAAGGGCTGGGGCCCTGCAGCAGCTGTAGCGACTCCTGTTGCAACTCCAACAGCAGGGTGAAGATGACAGAGCACTACCTGGGGCACTGGGAGCTGAGGAGGGGAGAGCACTGTGGAGGAGTGTCCAGCAAGTGGGGTCATTTGCAGCAGTGAGTGGTTGCCGTGCTCTGAGGTTTGGCTTCCCTAAATTAGCTCTGAAGGAGGAGGAAGCATTAGCGGCACTTCTTAACTAAACCCAAGGGCTGAGGTAGGAGGGTTCCCTAGCTCAGGGCTTCAAGGGCAGCCTTAGGTCCCTCAGGGGAAGCCAGTCTGAAGTGGGCTCTGCAGCCTCCCTCCCTCCCTCCAGGTGAGGCACCTTAGAGCCTGGCATCCCTTTCAACAAGAACCAAAATATTCAGTACCTCAGCCCTGCTGTTGCCAAGGACTTGGATGCATCATCAAGCACCAAACCCACCCAAACCAAACTGGATTTCCAGAGTCACTGGTGCCGCGCTGTGAGTCAGCTGGCAGGAAGCCGGAGGAGCCAGCCATTTTGCACTCAGGAGCACGGCAGGCACTGCTGTCCAAGGAAGTTACTCAGATTGCAGCAAGTCCCGGCTCTCTGCATTTACAGTGTTTTTGGTGCTGCATTTCAGAGGCAGCAGTGACAGTGAGAGATGACAGAGAAATAAGTCCTTGATACCCATGGTGAGAGGCAGAAGTGCATATCCTTGCATTTCCTACAGCTGAGGTGCAAGGAGTAGCAAAGTGACACTCTGCTTACCCCTCCCAGCAGGTCCATAAGTGTTTTGTAACACAAGGAGACAACATTAAGTCCTGAGGAAGCTCCGTGATACTCAGTGGAAGCGCACAGCAAACACCTGCCCCAGCTGCAAGCACCTCTGGCTAACCACACGAAAGAAGAGGTGAGAAAAGACCTTGCAAATCAGAGCAGGAGGGCAGAGGGCTATGCTGGTCACTGCGTTTCATCCCACCGACGCGCAGCAGCCGGGACCAGCTTTGTGGGACTCAGCGTTGACAGTAGGCTGGGCAGAGCACAGCAGCGCCAGGGACCCAGCAGCACCGGTCACCAGCCAGCAGACTCGGCCTTCCTCGCAGCAAGGTCTGGCTGAGGGAGGGCCGGGGACAGGGCCCCGTGGGACGGCAAGCAGGGCGCCCGGGCACGGGGGGCCGGGATGTTCTCCAGGGCAGCCGGAGAGCCCAGAGACAGAGCTCGCGGCAGGACCACGGGGGCAGGGCAGCCCGGAGGCTCACCCACAGCAGTGCCCACCCGTGGG